GTTGAAAAAAGTTTTCCTTATTCAAGCTGTATCTTGCACCATGTCAGCACTCATTCTTTGTTTTGTTTGTTTCATTTACTTCTACACTGTCCTTATTTCTGGATGGGTTTTGTGACAGATGAGAAGATTGCGTTACTCGGTGCTATACAATCTCTATTTGAAGGTTCCATGTATACATTTGTGTTTCTCTGGACTCCTGCCCTCAGCCCAAATGATGAAGACATTCCCCATGGTTTTATTTTTGCAACTTTCATGTTGGCTTCAATGTTGGGAAGCTCATTTGCAGCTCGCCTTATGGCGAAGAACTCACCTAAAGTTGAGAGCTACATGCAGATTGTTTTTGTTGTATCTTCTGCATCTCTCATGCTGCCCATTCTGACAACTGTAAGTAGGAAGTTCCTTTACTTTTGGAATTTTATGCCTTGTGGTTTGGCAGTTCTTTAATATCTTTCATTGGACCAGTTCTTGGTACCTCCTTCAAATGTGAAAGGGGGAGGCATCTCCTTTGCTGGAAGTATCCAGCTTCTTGGCTTCTGTACCTTCGAGTCTTGTGTTGGCATCTTCTGGCCGTCCATCATGAAGATGAGGTCTCAATACATTCCCGAGGAAGCAAGGAGCACCATAATGAACTTCTTCAGGATTCCCCTCAACCTCTTCGTCTGCATTGTACTTTACAATGTATGCTACTATACTTTTGCTCTAAGTAACTGCGGTGCACAACTATTTCAAAAGAAAAAATTTCTATTTCAAAAGTAACTGTGGTGCACATGTTTCTTTTCTTACATTTAATTACCCAACTAATTATTCTGCTGCAACATATAATTCATGTTTCTCATTTGAGTTCTGATTATGGATGATTTTTTTTGTCAATTTGTAGGTCAACGCTTTCCCCATCACTGTGATGTTTGGCATGTGCTCAATTTTCCTCTTTGTTGCATCCATTTTGCAAAGACGGCTTGCAGCCATTGCAGACAAGCCAAGTATGTACCGAATTCTCCAGATCACTGCTCCCACATGAACCATACTTGATTATTATTATTACAGTTGTGTCACCTTTTCTTTTGCTCTATGTATCTTGGTGAACTATACTGACTCAATATAACTGATTGCAGAAGCAGAAGATTGGACAGCAATGAAGGAAAGGGATACTGAGGCTGATCCATTGAATGCACCTTGATTGAGTTAATCAAGGTGAGCAGTCAAATATCCTCTGGAAATTTGTCTGGGAACGTCTATTTATTACCATAATCAGCCATCCGGGTTTAATATTAGTTGAGCTTACAATATTTGAAGAGCAATGACCATTGGGATTAAAAAATGGAGCTGTTCCTGCCTTGCAGATAAGGAAGAGGCAGATGAGCTAGTGGTGTTATTATCATTCCCTGGTAGTTGTTGGTAGAAGACGATCAACGTTTTCCACTATTTTCGTGCTGCTGGGATAGTTATTAGTTACTCTGATTTCCCCCCTGTTTTTCTTGGCCTTGGTTCAATTGTTGACGGAGGCCTCTATATTTATGTTATAGTTTTGATCTTTTTGACAATTTATCTCCCAATGTAATAGTGAAAAAGCACAAGTCAATTCTTTTCTAGCAAAGATGCAATTCTTGGGAAGTTCATTGGTGATTGAGATGTCACGCAAATGACAGAAATGAGTTTGTTTCGTTTTTTTATTGTAATTATTTTCGTCCCCTTTAGCTTTTCTTGGCCAAAAGAAGACATGTAGTTAGGTAACACCTAGGTTGGTCCAAAATCATGGGAAATTGAGGTTCAAAACTCAGCGTAGACATTGCATACACTTTGGATAGACGTTGATTCCACTTGAATATATGTGAACAGGGTATCCTGCCACTGGCAAAAGATGATAATTGGTACATTAACATAACTCGTTTTCCCCACTTGGCTTACCGTTGACAGGGAAAAAGAACTACTAGAATATATCTGATGGGTTTAGCCAAATTTGATAGTTTTAGTCCAAAGCCAATATTTGTCTTGAAAAATACAAACAATTATTAATTTAGAACTCAATAACTTAAAAGAACTTAAATCCATAACCTATGATCTTCACGTCCGGACTCCCATCTCTGAGAATGATAGGTAGAAAGATATATAGTACTTATATGAGAGATTGATGCACTCTAGTAAGTAAGGTACATTTGCCAGACTCATTGCTGCAGCATCTAAATCTTGTTCTCATGCATATGTTAGTAAAGAGATTAATTTATAACCAAACTGGGATACATTCACAAGTTCAAATTCATACCAAACAAAGAAAAACATTACCATTACACGCAACTATTTGGATACAGAGTAAGTTGGGGTTTAAAATCACGTTGAAAGATTAAATGAATACATCATATTGCATACAAAAACATGGAAATATATTGAAACATTTATTATTACATAAAACTAACAATTTCAACAAGATACAAACAAAAAAATGTTAGCTAATTTCTTCACATTTGCCTAAGCTTTGGTGAGCGGGGCAGAGCCATCCAAAATAATTGAGGTGCACATAAATTGATCAATATACTACTGTTATTCAAAAAAGAAAAGTCCTTTACACCAATCGGCTTCGTTTAGCCTGGACAGAAGCAGATTCCAAGTCCCCAATGAAGAAAAGTATCTTGTCCAAGATGCTTAAACTTGGTACCTCCTCTCTATCATCTTTATAGTCAGCTGATGAATCACATAAATCTTCGATTTTCGATTTTCTTGAACCTAAATGTCTCTGAATTTCACCCTGGTGAATAAGATAGTAGTCATCTCCTTCTCTTATAATTTTCAATCCCCTGAAGAAACATAAACATCCATGTAAAATGTTAGTATTATGTTTATACCCAGTGTAGTCCCACAAAGTAGAGTCTGCGGAAGGTAGAGCGTGCACCAACCTTACCTCTACCTCGAGGTAGAGAGGTTATTTCAGAGAACTATGTTTCTAATACAACAACATTACCCAATATGGTACCCAGCTAGTGGGGTCTGGGGAAGGTAGAAGATACGCAGACCTCAGAGATAGAGAGGTTGTTTCCGAGTACTATTTTTCTAATGCAAAAACTAAAAACATGTATAAAAACTTACAATCCATTGCGATCACAACGATCTTGAACCATATAGACATGTTTCCATGATTTGGAATCAACAGGGGCATAAAAAGTGACTTGATCTGATCCCCATCTCTCTATAAACAGATCACACCATAAACTGTTATCTGAACCCAACATTTTCCATCTTCTGCAAACTTTCAAACAAAAAAAAACATCAATTTTCATCAATCAAACCAAAATACGATAATTCCCTAATTCTTGGAAACAATTCACTCATTTGCATGAAAAAAACAAAACTTTGACAGAGATCCAATCTTTTAAAGCCAATTTCATTTCGAAATCGTCAAGAACTGCGGTCTGCATAATTCTCAATCAAAGCACAATTATTGAAAACCCATTCACTAATTTGCATGGAGAAAAGAATGAAACTTTGACTTTTCTTGTCAAAACAGAGAGAGATCCAATCTTAATGCTAAATTCAGTCAACAAATGCATAATTGGAAACTGCAAAATTGTTGGATAACTGAATCATAAGAATAAATAGTAAACAAAAAACTAACCCAATTGTGCAGTTGCAAGATTACGGTGATCCAAGAGACAGAAAATTCTGAGAAAAAGTTCAGGTGGCAACTTCTCCATCAGAGTTTTGGGGGTGGGGGGTGAAGAGACTTGAGAAAATGGATGAGATTAACTTGGTTCAGTTTGTAGAGTGCACTTTACTATTTCACTTTTTTGTCTCTTTTTGATGTGCTGGATTTTTTGTCACGTCCAATTTGGTGTACCTTGTCAAGTATAATATATACGTTGCTTGCAACTTGTACTGGTCAAGTTGTCCTCTCATTTTATTTCATATAGAAGTATTGACAACACTAATTTGGCACAAATTATTTGTTTTCGTCTTTTAACTATTGATAGTTTTAAAAACACTAGATATGTTATATGATATTATTAGTGATCTCAAATTTTTATAGGAGGATGAAACTCTTAATAAAAAATCTAGAAAAGTGTTGAAAACACCCTCTAAACTTGGCGAGAATTTGGGAATGTATTTGGTCTATGTTGGATTAAACAGGAAACAAAATTTAAAGAATTAACAAAACTGTTTTATGATTGATGTTATAAGTTCGTCTGATGTTTTTTTTTTTTTTTAATGATCATAGTGTTCGAGTCATTTTTTTGCATTTCAACTAACTTTATGCCTCCCACTAACCATAAGTATCGGTAACTTCGATCACCAAGACTAAGACAAATAGGAAGAATCACCTAATACTTTTATCTCCATTAATATTTAAACCTGAGACATCAAGACTCTTAACAACTTCATCCCGTTGAGTGAATTTAATGTTTTCTTTCATCAACCAGTTCTCAAGAATTGTGCATCATCTTTTAAATAAAACATATATATGGTGTTACTAACTTTAACAAGTAAACAATAGGATGTGGACTTCTCTTTTCGGCAATTATTTAATTATCCAACTAAAAAAATTGCTACTTACTAGTACTAAAAGTGCCTTTTTGTTCTTTGAAAGATGCTTTTACTTATTTTGTCCTTTGTATATGAAGAAGAAGAAAAGGATGGGAATTGACATTTTTCTGAATTCTCATTCTGAAAAGAAATTTTGTTTTGTGGAGTGTACTTTCTAAAATAGAAACTATGCAACTCATGTTACTTTTTAATACACCAAATCAAATCGTACATTGCATAAGAAATAATCTCAACATTAACTGATACAAGCATTACTAATACACCGTATCCAACACTATTCTTATACACATTACTAAACGACCCTAGTTCATAGCATCATCACCTGTTTGACTACTCAAATTCATAAACTCCGCAGAGAAACGACAAACTAAAGAGGGCAGTCTGCAGACAACCTTTATTCTGAAACTAGATCCATTGTCCAAATATTTATGTACAAAGGGATGCAAGTAGAGTAGTTTAAGTTGCTTGAGTTTTGGTATACAAATATCATTCCCTTTTGAATATATCACCATTTACGCTCCAGCAAAATTGCTAAAATGTTCTGGCTACAAAGTTTGTACAAAGATTTCAAAGAACAATGACTGGCATATGAACAAAAACAAAAGGGAAAACTCAAATGTTATAATCATCTATGATCATGTGAAAGCGACGATAGTGAGGATTGGATCAGGTTTTGCATCCTATCCCTCAAACTGGATATCGTATTTACCAATGGTTCAGACGATCCCACCCCATCCCTAGAGGAGGGGTTGTCATGTAGTATTTGTATTTGCCTCTCCAAATACTTTGTGAGACAAGCACCTGCTATGTTGATTAAGCTAAGAGAAGGATTTGTATGCATGAGCTTGGTAACAAGAAATCCTGCTAAAACCTGCTGCCCTGACCTCACAAGCTCCGAGACAAAACAGGGAAAGATCAGTCTTGGGAAAAGATCAATATAATCTTTTGATATACTCTCACTTTCTGCAGATTCACCACGTCTGGAACTTGATAACTGGGACTCTTGGCACTGTCGAGAGAAGCTCCCCACCATAAAGCAAATATAAGAGAATGTGGTACCATATGAAGGTTTGGTGATGATAGTTGATATAACTCCAGAAGATAAAACGAGAAGTAAAAACTCAAGATCCACGCCGATTTTGTCAGATATGCCTTCTTGTTTCAGCTTCTGCTCGACAGATTCCAAGCACTGCAACTGGATTACTTCGTATGGCAACAAGAGCATCAACTTAAGGGCTAGAAAGCAATCTATTTCAACTGCAATCTGGCTCAAACCTTGAGCATTCTCTTCGTCTAGTAATACTTCGCCTGGCTTTGCCACTGATTTGTCTAGCAATTTCAACATTTTGTTGTACTGGGATATAGTTAGTAGTTTTCTGAATATCTCCATCCAACAGACATGAAGAGGATGAACTGAAAGTTTAGCACCCTTCTTTGGTTCTTCTTCAATAGGTTCTTGGAAGCTTTCCCATCCCTCATCCCAATCATCATTAGCCCAACTGTTTCTACCATCAGATACCTCACCAGAATCCTTTTCAATTTCTTCCCTACTAAAGTGCCCCTCCCATTCTCGGAGCATAGCTAATAATGCATCAACATGAGATTCAGATTCAGCAAATTTAGATACTCCAAGGAAGCAAGAGACAGTAGATTCCACAGTTGAAAGATCTTCGGGTGTGATCTCTATGTTGGGCGAAATAGTGGAGACCAGCTGTGTAGATTTTAGAGCAATCAAGGTATTTGTGAACTTATTAGATGTATCTATCTTATTTGAAATCCCATCAGTGGCAGTGTTCTCGCAGTTCGCAGATGCATTATGCAAATTCTCCCAACCTTCCCAAGAATGAACTTCCACCTGTAGCTTGGACGAAAATCTTTTGCTGCTTTTATCAGTAGCTGCAATAAGTTGCATAAGCTCCAGTATGTAAACTCGAACATGGTTGGGGAGCTGAAAGTTCTCAGAGAACTCTTCCAATCTCTCCCAAACTGCCTGTCTAACACTCTGCAGATTATCCAAGTCACCATCTAATTTACTCAAAGATGACAAGTAATAGTGTAGACACTGATGCTCACAAGATTCGTCAGTCAACTCCTGCAAGATGGTCTTCAAGATACTAAGATAGAGATTTCGAAGATTCAGGATGCTGGCAGCTTCTTTTTTAAAGTCCGTCAGCGATCCAGCTTCATGTGGGGAGTGAGCCATGACTTCATCATATACAACTGCAACGGCTCCAAAGCCACAACCAGCATAAACCATCGCTCTGCAGAAATTGAAGATTTCAGCAGCAACATCACCAACAAGAACATAGCCTACATAGCCAATAACTGTAGCCCACCCCTGACTAGATGAGACTTTTTCCCCAGCAACTAGACGTGCAAAAACTTTCAGACACATCATTATACATTCTAAGCAGAATCTTTCTTCCGAATTCTCAAGGAGTGCAACTTCATGCATGTCATTCAACATTCTGAGCCAAGTATCCACAAGCATGGCAAGGCACACCTGCCAACCTGAGCCACAGGGCAGAGACTTGAAAGATCCTTCAGCAGGTAGTATGATGGCCAAGAATCGTTTCAGAATGTCCAGACGAGCAGGATTTGGGACAAATTTTAAGTATTTGCAGCAGGTATTGTAAGTCTGCTCAATCTCACTGATTAAGCAATGAAGACTTTCAGAGCTTTGAATATCGACCCCCTGTTCAGTTCTAGCTTCCAACTTTGTCAACAAACTTAAAACATGATGTTCATATACATACTGCCAAGACAAGAGACCATCAGGCACAGGACCATCACGAACGGAAAGAAGGTTCTTGACCAGGTTTGCCAATGCCTCAACATTGTTTTCATTGATGTGAGCAGAAATTTCACTGTTGAAGCAATCCAAGTTCAAATCTTGAATTCCAGCAACATTTTTGAAGTTCAGATCCTCGATACAGGACACCCTGCAACATTCTTCTTCAGCAATCTTGGAAAAACGAGCAATATGAATAGAATGAGGATGCATTGGATCCTTTTGTTCATCTTGCTGCAAGTAGCAGTCAGAGAGCAGGCCATATATTAGAGAAAGCCTCTGCTTATCATGTCCATCAACTGCAGGGTAGATCGACGAGGAAATACATTTTATTGTTTCTGCAGCACAAGCAAGTAGTTCTACTCTGTGATTTGACACTTCATTTCTAACATCATCAGTGCTCCAAGCGTCAGAAACAAAGATAGATCTCAGATAATGCAGCAGCACCTAAATAAGAGAGGAGCAGTGGGAGAAACAGTAAGTTATACGGAATTTGTAATACAGGAATTAATAATGCAGGGATTAGTAAAGCAGGGTTTATAATGTGGAGTTTTTATCGAGTGTTAGGTTTATTGTATTGAAAGTTGGATATACGATGGATGACTTTTTTTTAAAAATAACCTATATGATGTTTAACTTAAAACTTGTGTTTGATTTAATATTGTATAATATTTGGTTTTCTATTTAACCCTTGTACTTCTGTAGGACTTTTTTCTTTCATTTATGGTTAAGAGAATTCTGCATTGCACCAGGAGTGACAATCAACACCAGTGGTCTAGAATTCCCATATTCCATATATCCTATTGTATAATGTTGTCCTGTAAACAAATTATTCTATAAAAAGACTTTTAATTAATTTTTAATTCTGAAAAAAATGGCTAAAAATAAAAGGGTAATGAATTACATTTTAAGATCTTTATTAAAAAATAGATCAGCAAAAAGTACGGTGAATAAGAAAGAAAGTGAAGCGGCAATGTATCTGTCTGCAGTGAAACACTGAAACTAACCATGGCATTGGATAACCAAAAATGGAGTATTTTGATTGTCAGGTCAAATAATCCAACTTTAGCTTAATCAACTTTAGCATGTGGTAGCTGTTGATTAAGCTAAAGTTTACCACAATTTTCCTTTTCATTTTGGTTCTTTTTTCCAGAAGTATGTTTTTCTCTGAAGAACAGTGTGGTCTGGAGAAAATGAGTACAATAACATCAAGGTATTTGCCTTTTTATATGGTTTATCCCAGTTTAGTTAATCCAAGTATTAGTTATTCCATCCTGTATTCGGTATAAAACAATACAGAAATTATCGTATAAGTTATTTAAGTATTATCTATATAGAAAATGAAAATGGTAACCAGACATTGAAGAACCTAATACAGGTTTTTATACTGTGACTATTTTTGCTGATACCCAAAACCAATGTGACCCCTTAGTTTTCTAGCATCTTAGAACTTGTAATTTCATTATCTCATTTACGGTTCTGTTCAAGAACAGTGCATACCTTGTTGCAATCTAAGCTATAAGTATTGGCCAACTTCAGTACATCCTTCACACTGTGTTTCTTCTCTGGGGTCATGGACTCGATAAATGATAAAACAACATTCTCTCTGTAGTCCATGTCCCCAGATAAGAAGCGAGCAGCTTCAACACCAGGGAGAATTTGTTCTAAACTCCTTGAACTGTCTGTATTGCGCTTTTGCTCTTCTAGCTTCAGTTTCCATTCTCTCCAAAATGTAGATTGTGCTTGGTCTATTTGTTCTTTTTCATCTGAATTAGAAGACGACATTTGGATAGCAATAAGAAAAATGAACATGCAAAGAAAAATACAGAAAGTTCTCCACAATACAGCAAACAATAATAGATCTATTGGTCAAAATTAACAAAATCACCTGAGCAGATCAGTTTATGTTTCTGCTGGAACTTTGTCAGAAGCAAGTCCCTCCTTTGTGCAGGGTCTTCACACTTGATTCCACAATTGTGCAACAAACTGTATATCATCCCAACATTCATTATGCTGGTTATTTCATTGTAATTCTCTCTTGTTATCAAGTTTCTTTCAATTATATCCACCCCTGAAAAGGCATCGGCAAGATTTAATAAGAAAGAGCATCCTAGGATGTCTTCCTCCTCAGAGACAGGCGACTCCATAATGGAATTAGCAACACAGGCAATCAAACTGTCCTTTGGGGAAAAACCATTCCTTGCTAACCAGGACAAGATAGTCATCACTGCCTGTGCTCTTAGACTGACATATCGATTCCCTGAAAACAAGCTGGATTTGAATTTCTTATTGTTTTCTGCTTCTTGACTCAGTTCAAGTAACCATGGAAGATACACAGCAGCAAATGACAATAGTTTTCCATTTTCTCTCAAGATGGACGGAATGGTCCAATCACCATCCACCTGTACATCTTTGGCTACCTGAAAGAGTACATTTTCAATCTGCTTAAGTTGTGCTTCCTGGTCAGAACACTCCTTTAAGTCTGTTTTATCTGGGGTACAAGGTGGTTTATAGGACATAGTTGAGTCCTGAACTAAGGCATTTTCAGGCTCTGTCCCAGTCAACACCATTAAAGATTCACATTGATCTTGCATATCCAGATCTTTCCATGCATGTAGTAACTCAGCAATTGATTCCCCATCACAGTGGCTCAAAGCAAAACCTAACAGCTGTTTTCTGGAAGAAATATCCATGTTCTCAAGGGCAGGACCTCTTGCCAGTGCTGCACATAAGTCCCAGACCGAACCATGCCCTTTTTTGGCCAAAACAAGACATAGATCAAAAGCCAGTTGGAGATCTCCAACCACTGCAGCTTCTCTTGCAATAGCTTCTTGTACAGCTGATATGTCGTCGTACGAGCTTAACCCAAAAAGTTTGGCTAGTTCAATAATCTCATCAACATTCAGATAAGCTCCACCTTGACTTGTAACAACCAACTTAACTATTTCCATCGGATCTTTAATTTGCCTGAATTGCATTGGCAACAAGGTGACACCAAGGTTGGGAAGTTTAACAGTTACAGCATCAATTATATCAGCCTCCACCCTCACATTTCTGCTAGTTGGAAGGATATTCAAGCATTCTTTAGCCTTCCAAATCTGCAGAATTCAGCAGCATAATACATTGTCATTTCAATTTACATTGGACTACTTTCGAAGAATATGTGCAACCAGTGAAAAGCATTAGTTCCCGGAACATACTCTGGACACACTTTAACTAAAGAAAGAATGCATCTTTATTTTTTATCACAACAGCAATATTTTGGCCAGCTTGTGTGCACCTTGACTATATCACCGGGCACCTGCTACCTCCCACCAACACAGTTACCAGGTAACTCTGCACACCAAAGCTTAGTCAAATGGGAAAAATCATCTAGTTTTTTTGTCTCTGCTAGTCTGTTAGAATTTGAACCTTGTTCTCCAAGGTTAATATACGCTACATTGACCACTAAGCCACACACTTGTTTTTTTTTTATAACCAGAACAGGGCATACTAAAAAGGAATAAGGTACTAAGTCAGACCCTTGCATGTTGATTGACTAGTTGAAGGTCTAATCTGAACAAGCATGCTTAATGTCAATACAGACAGTAGAGCAACCTTTTGAATGCTCTACAGGGGAGGGGTGTGCAAAATTTGAGGTTTGGCAGACCAAATACAACATCCTTCTCTCATGTAACAAGACAAAAACAAGCAAGCATGTCCTTCGTTGTCATTAAGGAAAAACCGGTTTCATTAAAGACAAAAAGGCAAAGGTATCCATCAAAGGTGCCATCAATTTCATTCAATCCAAACATCACTTCTAAGGATATAGTGCACCTCCATAACATTTTCAGATTCTAGCATAACCAAATCCCTAGAAGTTGATTCTAAATAATTCTTTGATAGTGGTCAGGGAAACAAAATGCTCTCCAAATACACCAAAAGCTACTGCCACATTTTTTAGCAAAATGAACAATGTTAGAAGAGATCTGTTTTTTTTTCGAAGAGGCAACATTAGAAGAGATTTATTTGTTTCACTAATTCTCTAGAACATGATACACACTATCAGCAGTAAGAGAAGTCTCAGATCAGGACTTGTTTCAATATCCTTTGGGAAGAGTGAAACATCAGGCAGAATGAATAGCAAGTTCCGAGGGCAGGTTATAGCTTTTGAGCAAGACAACTCATCAACGAGTAGAGACTTCTACGGTCTTTGCAACTTTAACATAAGATCACATAATCACTCCTATGCTAGTATTAGATTAAATGAACTTACTTCGGAACTAGAAAGACTTGACGCTGAGAAGAAATATTCTCTGGCAGCTTGAATAACAAGGTTTTCTGCTTTATCATTTGCCAACGACACTGAACCCACACCTTTCAAATAATTCCTCGCAAGTGAAAATTTTCCTGCTTTCAGCAATCCCCTGCAGAACTCCATCAAGACATACTCAAGATCTATGAAGCAAAATGCTTTCTCTTGCAAAGACTGCAAGTCAAGCCACATATTTGTCCAATCATTATCTGATCGTCCAGGCTGTCGGCGAACAAATTTGGATAAAATGAGACGAATTATCTGCTTTACACCCTTTTCATCAGAATATGCCTCCTGGAAAAAGCTGATAGGCTTTGGGACCTGAGAATTACAGGACAATAGTTGGAAACTATTATTACACAGGTTATTACAAAAAGCAAAGAAGGATTCACTACCACAATCAGTAGTCAATACTACAAGCTACAACATGATCCATTTGTATAAAAATTACTAGTTTCTCGCCACGTGCCTTGCATTTGCTGAATAATACAGTATTCGAGTTTGTAAAGTAATACCAATATACAAAATTAATGCTTTGATTAGATAATTATACATGAAAAAATTAAGTACATGTGATAAGTGAGAATCGTCATCACTTGTTTGTCGATGTCAAGATGATTGATATTGAGGTCATGATAAAAATTTTGAGCTCATTACCCAATATGTAATGTTGCTACCTCTTGTAAATTCCTCACAACACCTTCTGGTTGCTGGATATTTAATACAATACCTTTTAAAGATAAAAATAAATTGGAACTTCATAAATATGAAAAATTTATTGTGCACACAGCAGATCAGTCGTCACGTGGACCTCATCATTGACATTCTGTACAACAACGAGGAGGTTTTTCATATGAAGCTTATCAGATATTAGGTAACTTTTACTTTTATGTTTGTCCACCTGCTGGTTTTCATATTCCATTGTTTCCCTTCGCAAAAATCAGTGTTCATAACAGTGTTTTGTATGTCCTGCAGTGTTTAAACAGTATTTTTTCATTTTGACAAGTTTTCTTAAACAATTGGACGACTAGATTTATAAGATGACTTGAGGTGCAGCTATTTGGTTCGTAACTAAGGGAAAATTAATGTGAAGGGTTTCATTTGATATTGCAACTTCCACGGATTTGTCTGTAAAAGGCAAATTTAAAGTGTGTAAAAAAAAATCATGCCTATGAAATAGTAGTTCGAAAAGAGAAGGCTGTTGCAGGTAACTAGAACAACATACTAATAAGTGCAATAAAATAAGCTTTTATAATTAAATAGCAATATTTGGTGAGTGATTTTGGACAAATCAAGTGAGCTTGTGTTTTACATAAACCAAATGATTCTTGAACTAACCTGATGTATAATCTCTCATATTTTTAACATTCGTCTATTGGACAAGCAGGAATTGAGGCATAAGATTCTCGGCACGGAGTTTCAGAAAGACAAAAATACATTTGAAATTTGTAGTCAAAAATGAGACTTAGATAAAATGTGGCTATGAGTCATCTCATCGAGAACAAAATGAGAATTTTCATGGTACATTATTTTTAAATATAAAAAAGTGGCATTCTTTTAGGAGAAACTAAAAGGAAAGGATTGGTACAGAGTGAACATTATTTTACAGAACTCTATACTACACCACTTGATATCCACGTGCAACACACAGTTTCAAAAATATACACGTACAATGCATACACCAAGAAACTAGATGTATATATATATATAAAGAAGTAGTAAAGCCAGCGTCTTTATGGCACCACAATTTGTTGGGAAGAAAAAAAAAACATCAGAAACATTGACCATTGTGATTTGAAGTTTGGCAATAGCAGTGGAAGTTAAGACCAATTTAGCATATGCTTTAAACAATTCAAAGATGCACCCAGGCCGGGTAATTATGGCTGCTAAACCATAAAAAGGATTGTAAGCAGCAATTTGTGGCAATGAGGGAGTACAGACAATCACCCCATATGAGAGTGAGAGAACACGTCTCCTATGAATGAATATGACAAAAGAGGTTCCAGGGAGTACTATTATCATCCAACAGATGCCTGATGACAATTTGGATCACGAAAACACTAGATTGCGGAACTTAGCCTAGACGGAAACAGCAGTATCCTGTGGGGGATAAGAGAAAGAAAATCTGGGTTATACATGATTACTACATACAAAGGTAAAACCTAACCTGGTAAAGCGCCAATATTCTTCCTGCTTCAATATGACCTTCTGTGAGTCTCAACCTTTCCTTGAGACTTGCCGCTTCAGAATCTGTTAAACCACAATTTGGACAATTATTTCTTATCTTTTTCTGTAAGTCGTAACCTCTTAAGGAAAAAGATTAGTAGTGACTTCAGTAAAAGTTAAATAAGAATATTCAATTACTCAGCTACTCATTTGATGTCAGTCACAAGCGGTTTGACATTGAAAATACAAAGAAAGAGATATGTGAGACGAGAAACAAACTAGTATGGAACCAATACGACTATGATAATATTAAATTACCAGCTATGCCAAGCATTTAACAACAGTTTTTATCCGAACCGGAAATTATAAATAGGCAAATGGCAACTTCCACCCCTCCCTAAAAAGAGAGGGCGAAAAAGGAAAAGGAGAATAAGGGGAAAAGTCAGTAAGTAATCAAACTTCAAAAATTCAATAAAAATGTTGAATCAAACACAAGTAAGAATCAACTAGTTTTGGAATTCTATTCATTTCATGCAAGCCAGTGACATATTTTTACTTACATGACCCAAAAAAGAAAAGCATAGATGAGAATACATGAAATATCCATCATTAAATATTAATCAAAATTTAAATTACATGTATCAAGAACTGATTTCAAAGAAATCTTAAGACTAATATTTAATCAACTTTTAGCACCACACTAGCAGAGGAGAGGAGAGGAGAGAGAAAGAAGAGAAGGTGGAAGCTTAGCAAAACCGCCACAGGTTGCTAAGATAGTAAATCACAAGAAGACAAAGCAGAAATTTCTTTGTTCTCAAGGTTGGGGGAGGGGGGGTTGGTAATGACAGGATTATAGCATTTTGTCAAAGGCTTACCACGTGGAAATGGAAGTTTAGACAAAATGGAGGCCATCGTACTCCACCTATCTGTACCAGAACAAGCGTATATGCACTGAAGAGCACAATCTACAACCTCAGCCTCATTATGGAAAAAGTTATTATTCTGGACCTCTCTGCTACCCTCTTCAATTACAACTGAACACATCTCCAATTTATTCTCAGTGGCGATCTCCTTCAGCCATCTGACCAGAAATGACTCAGCTGAGTAATCTGTTTTCTCATCTCTGGAAGGCACAGTCAAAGAGTGAAACCTCTTTTTCATGAATGGAATTGCTTTACTATGTAGTCTTTTAATAACAGTATCTTCTCTGACCCCAATCAACATCAATTTAAATCTTTCATAATCAGGTAAGCTTTCCCATCTAGTAAGACTCATGGAGAAATTCATTTCTTCATTCTCCTCAGAATAGATTAGCTGGTGTAAGTAAGAAATCTCCTCTAGGAACGGCTGCAATTGAGAAATGCCTTTGCGACAAGCAAAGTCAATCAAGCACATGGAGTTATCGAGTTGCCCACTTAGGGTATCAATATCTCTGGCTCTTTTTTTGTACCAAGACGATAGTTCACTTACTGAAGGCCATTGAGAACCCAAAAATTGTTTTACAATTGGCTCAGTTCTGATCTGAGTATAGCTCTCATGACTCTCAGGGACTCTGCTGATAATAAAAGTTACCATCTCATCACACTCAACCCAATCTTCTTCCCTCAAAGAAATACTTGGAGGAGGGGAACTCCCAGGAAGGAGCTGCCCATAAGTCTGCACCGGAACAGTCTCAGGGATGGCAGCTAAGACATCCAACAATGAGGAAGTTAAGGAGTAAGGATGACGCTTAAAGAGAAGGTTTAATGCCCCAATCTTGCCACTTTCTGCAAGTGCAATTGCAGCTTCTTTAATGGGCAAACTACAAAATTTCTTGTACTCCTGTAAAGAAAACCTGCAAAAGGCTAAGTCATTAAGTTTCAAGTCAGTAGAAACCATTTGAGTACTACTTTATTTAAAAGCATGATGATTTGTCCTAGTTTCAAAATCAGTAGGACCAATACAAAAGACAGGATAAGAAGCACACCTAATGAAATATAGGAAAAGAAACAAAATTAAACAAAAGAAAAAAAAAACATACAATTTCACAGTTGGGTCATTGAGCGACAAGCCACTTTATGCCCCTAGAAGAAGTTTATGCTACAGTTTGAAAATGAAAACTTGTCATCACACATCTCAACCACAAAATCAAGTTAAATGTGGAAGTCAAAGGCGACATGGTAGTTTTGGAACCTCATCCCAATTTTGAAGTTTTCAGCTTTGTCGACACTTCCAGAAAATCTAATTAGTTTAGAAGCTTCATAGACAATAATAAAGAACAGAATGCTTGCTTTGTAATAACAACAAGACTGCTTGTGAGCATCACAACTTTCCAATCAGTCTTTCAATATAAACCTTATGAATCCAGAACAAAAAACATTCACAATAGAAGAAGAAAAAAGAACAGGGAGCAATAATATTATCACCTGCCCATGTTTATCCCAAGAAATGTCTCTATCCGGTCTCTGTATTGCAACAATTTAAGTCTTGCCACAAGAAAATCCCACACCTTACTATGATCATCAACCTCAGGCTCAGAAAATCTGTAACGGCCAGTTATGCGAAGTCCAAGATCAAGCAAAGCTCTAACTGCGTCTTCAGTTGGTCCAAATCGACCCACACATTCAGAAAGTACGAAAACTTGATCCTTGATATTTGAAAGTAGTGTATTTATCTCATTTACACCCTGGGAGGAGTGCAACCACTGTGCCTTTAGAGCTTCGTCTTTATCTAGCCCATGCTGATCGGCAAACATGAGAGCAGCCTGATACTCTTGTCTGGAGATAAATATATCATACATTTCAGAAATGGATCGTTCAGAAAATGAAACTAAGCTCCATCGGAAATTAGCCCAGTCAAACTTATTATTCATATCACCATAATCACACTCCATAAGATGAAAATTGCTTGCTCTAATATCTTTAGTCGATTCATTGTTCTGAATGGATGGTTTTGTCTCCAGTAGAAAAAGCTTTCCCGACAACTGTGGCATTCTCTCTAAAAGGGGCAATGAATACATAGTCTCATCCGTCTTACATAGCTTAGCACCGGTACATATATTAATCATAGTGATGTTGCCATTCCTTTCTGCAACAGCAAGTATACCATCAGACCACCAGGCAAAATCTGTAACCCCATTCACGAGAATGTTCCCCTTATTTGACTCCTTATTTCCCTGATGTAATTCATTTCCCTCTCCATAAGAACATTTTGAGAGAGAACGCTGTTCCTCATCAAACTTAAAGGTATTCAAAGATCCTCCCATATCAAGAGTAGCGACAAATCTTCCCTGTGGTGATATTGACACCTTAGAGGAAGTTATATGACCGACATAATCTTTCGGGATAGAAAAGATACCCTCAAACTGAGTAGAAACGACAACTTCCAGGGCTAAGTTTCCCCTTTTCCGGCAAAGAGAAAGACTGTACAATCCTAGAAAAGAAATAATATCAATGATAAAGAAAAGTAATGGGTAGCTTGCATCAATTCGAAATGTCTGCTAAAACAAAATTAAGAACCAATTCATAAATATGTTCAGATATATTAAGAGACTTTGAGCTACCATTAGTAGTTAGCTGTAAACCGCCAGCACTGCTAACTATGGAAAATAAGCTCATTTCTGGCTGGTAATCCAGGCAGATCATATCATGTGGAAACTGCTTCAGCATCGTCCCACTGCTCGAGGCAAGGGGTGAGAAAACAGATGCACTTGGATCTTGACTGATCTCAATGTCATGAATCAACCCATCTGCTGTAATTATAGTGAAGGTACACCTGAAAAAGAGTTATCCACCAAATATAGATGTACAAGCTAAGTAAATAAGATGAAAAATATGAGAGAGAAGAAACCTTCACAAATAATTGAACTTACAAGCAAGATTTCTTCAAATCAGCATCATTCTGCACCATCAGGCCAACTACTGGTGAAGAGCTTTTTATATGACCCTTGGAAATTCTGGTAATTTCCTCACCATTAGCTTTGATGAGATAGATTGTGTCACTATCGTCAGCAACACCAAGAACATCATGAGTTTCAGACCATGCCCCACAATGGAATGAAGTAATGCTTTTGCCTAGATGAACAGAGGCAGTAAATAATAGATAAGTGTGGAAATAATAGATAACTTTGGTTGAACGACCAAATAGGATCAAAAGAGCAAGAAAAACACTGACAAGCTGCAGGCAGGAAGGCAGCTTTCACATGAAAAACAAAGAAAACCTTTGACATGTTAAAATAGTTGCCCTATTCTTGACGTATAAAGGAGGTTACTGCCACAACCGTTTGTTACTTCTATTTTAGCTTCTACTTTAGGTTCATGAAACTTACAGACAAATATTCCACAAGGTTTTTGGTAGTCATCATCCTTCTGCAGGATTGTTATCTGATTCCCAGATGCTACAGCCACAAGATCACCTCTTGGGGAAACAAACAAGGATGCATATCTCCTTACTTTTGTTGGATGCCCATGCTTTCTCCATCTCTCCTTGAGCTGGGCAATACCTTCATACATGACAAAAATTGATAATTTTAACTAAAAGGTCTGAACAACAAGTGAAGTAAAACAAATACTCTCTACATATAAAGTTGCTTGACCTAATTTCTTTTTACATCGTTATTTTCTTCTAATTTCCTTGGTTCATTTCCTCAAAAGGAAAGCTGCTTATCCTTCAAGAATTTTAAACTACCACTATCTATCTAATTGTAATTTAGATACTTTTTTTATGAAGATCGTAACTTAGATACTATTGTTTCTCAACTAGATAATGTACCTCTTTTCACCCTATTATTTCAATCTATTCTCCTTTTTTGGATGAAGTAAGAAACTTTATATAATAGGAATCAAGAAGATGCAATAAGTACAAAAGAGGGAAGGAGAAGTCAGCTTGGTACAAAAAGTGTTGAGATAGATTTTGCCAACTATATAACCATAAAGGACATCTAGCTTTAAGAGTGTGGCGAGGAGTTAAAAACGAATCAAAGCATCTGTGATTCCGTTCCTCTCTGTCCAGACACACCAAAATATACAGGCAGGAATCATCTCCCTGGCTTTCCTGATGAATTTGTCAACTTTCATTTGAGACCAGCATTCATAGGTTTCTCTGATACTATGTGGCATAGTCCAACTGAGTCTAAAAATTCAATCTATTCTCTATCAAACTTTAATATAATAACCTATTCTTTCTTCTCGTGAATCTCTGCACTAGTAAACCACAGATAGTTTGACTAGAGGGACAAATTGCCTAAATTTCATGTGAATTCAAAACTGAAAGAAATAATTGATTGTTTTTTATGCAAACTAATGTGAACACAATGCCTCCAAGCTAATGAGACTGAAACCAAAACAAAATGCAAAAGAAGAAAAAGAATCTCATCAGTTAAGAACCTCAGAGATAATATGCACTATAAGCCTATGTATATGGAAATCACAACAATCAAATAAGATATTCTCGAGAATGCAATGCAGCCTTCTGATAATCTCAAACTGCTATGCAATACATCTATGTAGCGCTTGTTTGGACATTTACCTATATCCCTACCGATGTTTAATGTTTCCAATATTTCATGTCATTCTTTTTTCTTTTTTTTTTATAACCGAGAAATCCGTCTGTGACCCACCCTTTGGACCAATCACAGCCTTCTAAAATCGGTGGATAATGGGCCCGCCCCTCTACCTTTCTCCACTTAATACCGGGCTTCGCTTTGCATGGTGTGGGGCATGAACTTGCGACCTAAGCCACAAATCCTCCACCTTTTGCTGCTTGAGCTAGGCCTTGGGGCTTCATGTCATTCTTAAGTAGTGATGATGAGTGACTTCAATACATAGTTTAAAATAACAAACTTATAGGGTAACACCATATCTTCTTTTCATGTTTCGATAAATAACCCAATGTATTCTTTTTAAACTAATTCCATTTCTGTAATCAAATTCCAAAAGGAAGAACGATTGGAACTTCCCTTCGTCTTCATGATCCATGGTGAGATTTCTATCAACCTAAAACAAAATCTAACTCACACCCAAAAGGTGACTATATCCAGCTAACCAATTATTCAACAAACTAATGAATAAGCTCACATTCATATAACCAAAAAAAAAAACCTTGCATTTAAATCACATCAAGGAAAATGAAACTAAAGAAATCTGCCTTTCTCATCTATCAACATAAAATTTTCTAAATTTACAACAACAACAACATACCCAGTGAAACCCACTAAGTGAGGTCTGGAGAGGGTAAAGTGTACGCAGACCCCTCAGCTCAAGTGCATCAAACCCAAGTAAAAGAAGAGGAAAACAATAAAGAAAGCAATGTAGAAAGCATAACAGTTAATAACAGCAACAAAATAAGGTGGGATAAAAATTCAGTTTAAACAGAATTCAGTCAATTTAGTTGTAGTAACTTCACCAATTGCCCAATTCAACAAAAAAAATGGATGTACCTGAGGAAGAAAGCAATCTTGAAAGATAACCGCTTTTGGCGTCTTCATTCAACTAAACCAAACACAAGAATGTAAGCAATTGAGGATAAATTAAAGAGATTCATCAAAAGGAAGACAAAATTCAAATCAGTGTAAAACCTGTTGATGATTTGGAGGATAATTGGAAATATATGGGCTAGAAGCATGATGTCGTGTCTCAAATAAGATTTTTCCGGCAGTTTCTTCCATCTATGAATTTGTGATCTTCGAGATCCTAAACCTTCATCAGCTTCAACTTCTTTGACTGTCGAATCTATCAGTCGGAAATTTTGTTTTGGGGTTTAATTGGTATGGGTTAAATTAGTGGGTTAGGGTCGGGTCAAAAGAGGGAGACGGATAATTTTAACTGAATTGGGGGAATGGGGTCAATTTGGGGGAATGTATTAAATTAGGGGTATTTTGATAAAGTTTGATAACGATAGAGATATATTTGAGTCAATTGTATAATTAAAGGATGAAGTTAATCAATAAATGAAAGCAAAGGTATATATTTGATCATTTTCCTAGTTTTTAATATTTGTATTGTTGACACTCAATTTCACTCCAATTTAAATTTTCATTATACTTATGCTATTTGACTTTAAATGTTTTGGAGATTTTTTTGAATTTATTTACATAACAATTATCGTTTTAATATAAATATTGTTCTTTTCATTATTTCATTTGTTTTAATTTGTTTGTCCTATTTTAGTTTGACACAAAATTTATAAAAATAAAGAAGCTACTAATAACTTTTTGCTTAAAAATAGAGTCATTTACATTTCTGATTTCATCATAAAACACGTAAGATCCATTAAGTTTTCAATTTGTCTACCATCACCCCATTAAGGGGTGTATTTACTATACAAAATATTAGGACGGCTCAACGTAAATGGGGCCTAAGCAGAAATTTCAATTTGAGGCCTAAAATATAAACAATCTTCATATACATATTTATTCCAAAATATTTTTCTTACACTACTTAGATGAAAAATCTTAGTATTTAATATTGTTTTTTCAGTTATTAGTCCCAATAAGATTTTATTAACTCAACGTTGAAAAACATCCTTTCAGTGACGCAATTATTATATGAATTATTAACATAATTCTATAAGTAATAAGTTGACAAATTTAAAATAAAGATAAGTGTTAGAATCATCAAATCTGATTCAAGAAGTTGATAACTTGAAATACCCTACTTTCATATGCTTGTTGTAATGCTTGAAACTAAAATTTTGAAAGAAATAAAAAAATATATAGTAATTCACTTTGTTGAACACTTTTCACTATTAATTCATATTTTAACAAAGTACAAAAGACGTTAAAGAAAATAAAATATATAATTTTAAAAAAATATAGTTTTTTTATCATAAATAATCATTTTGAATATTTAGGGCCCCAAAATTGAGGGTCTAAGACATATGCCTTGTTATTAGGGGAAACTACGTAAATGGGCCATAAAATTTAAAATAATTACAAGTTCATATCCAAATCCAATGTAATTCCTGAAATACATATTCTCTCATAAATAATTACAGTCCATACCCCCATTCATTAAGACTGATAATTTTCACTTAACTGATACTAAATCAACATCATATACTTTATTGGTATCATTAAGGCTGATAATTTTCACTTAACTGATACTAAATCAGTATCATATATTGTATTGACATCATCAAGACTGATAATTTTCGCCTAACTGATACTAAATCAGTATCATATAATGTATTGGTATCATTAAGGCTAATATTTTTTGCTTAACTGATACTAAATCAGTATCATATATTGTATTGGTATCACTAAGGCTGACAATTTTCACTTAACTAATACTAGGGATGTACATGGCCGGGTTGGTTCGGGTTTTTCAAATATCAAACCAAACCATTTGCGTTGAATTTTTAAATTTATAAACCAAACCAAAAAAACTTGGGTTTTTCAATCTTGGATTTTTTCAGGTTTTTTGAATTTTTGGTTTTTTCGGTAAAGTATTCATACAAACATAAAATTACTTGTACTTCAAATATTTCTTTAGTCCTACCAAAATACAACTATCTAAAGTGTTTCTTAAGAAAATAATACAAAATATGATATGATTAATGACACTAAAATATCCAACAAAATAAATAAATAATGAAATTGCGCAAAACAAGTATTGCAAATTAACAAGTCATAATGAAAATGATCATAATTTAAAAGTACTAAATCATGCTAAAATAAGTTTAATAAGTATTAGTTGCATGACTAAATATTAAAGGAAATTAAAATTAGATTATGTATTTTAATTGTCTAAAACAATGTAAAACTAAAGAACAAATATTCAATATTATTGTCATTCTTAGCGTTGAATTGATTTTCTTTTTGCATTAGTATTAATTTGATTTTGATTTAAGCTTTATTATAATTACCAACATATGTGGACTATAATATTTATTGAACCATTCAGAATTTTAAGTTTCAAACTTGAAATAATTTATTAAAAGATAAAAACTATGAAAAAGTATAAGAAATATTTAAAAATTATATCAAAGTAAATATTTTTATGTATAAAATAAAATTTTAAAATAATATATATAATGTCGGGTTGGTTTGGTCTCGGGTTGTTTTTTTTTAGTTAAAACCAAACCAACCCAAATATAGTCGGATTATTTTTTTCAATACCAAACCACTAGTCAGGTTTTTTTTTTTTGGTTTGACTCGATTTGCTGTTTGGTTCGGTTTTCGGTTCGATTTTGTACACCCCTAACTGATAGTAAATCAGTATCATATACTGTATTGGTATCATTAAAGCTGATAATTTCGTTTAATTTGATGCTAGATCTGTATATATGTATCATTAAGGTTTCTTCTTCAGAAATTACTCATCAGTCAATGATACTACAAGAGTCTATGTATATTGTTGTGGTATCATTAAAGTTTATTGTTCAGAAATTACTCATTAATCAATGATATAAGAGTATATATATACATATATATTATGGTACCATTAAGGTTTCTTGTTCATAAATTACTCATTAGTCAATCATGCTACAAGAGTATATATATATATATACTTGTATAGTATCATTAACTAATGAGTAATTTGTGAACAAGAAACCTTAATGATATCAATACAGTATATATATACTGATTTAGTATCAATTAAGTGAAGTTATTAGCAATAATGATACTAATACAATATATGATACTGATTTAGTATCAGTTAAGCGAAATTATCAGCCTTAATAATACCAATACAATATATGATACTGATTTGATTGCCTTTAAGCGAAAATAGTTGTAACACCTAAGGTGTTTACGATTATTCATTACTCCGTGTTGAAGGCTTAGGAGCTTAAATTTGAGAGTTTTATTATAACATTATGCATGATTCGACAATACGATTTTAAATCAAAATATAAAAAAATGAATTAATTAAAATAATATTTTTAATATTGTCTTTTAAAATATCTTAGATATTTATGAAAATAATGTAGTTACGTTATATTGTGGTGCATGTATTATTTCAAGGATTTTATAATTTATTGATATTTTAGCGGGGATAGTAAATGAAGTTATTGGAAAAAAATTATTATTATATGAGAAGTTTTATTCAAAATGATTTTTTTTTTCATTAATTGTAGTATATGAAAAATATATATTTAGTTTACACTAAATAATGAGATATAAATATATTGTGATATCACAACCCCATTTCCACGTGGAAGTGGGTAATGGCAGCAACAATTCTCTATAGTGCCACCTATCATTTTCTATATATTGACACACTTAATTGTATATAAATAATTACTACACAAAAAGGAAGCATATCTATGTGTTTGACTAGAGCAATTCGTGGGGACTCATTTTATTTAGCTTCTACGCTACTATATGAATATGCTTACAGCTTTCAACAATCAGTTCAACAATTTACTGGGAACACAAAAATCACTACTCTTCTTTCAACTTTTGTTGAAGAATTATTTTGGGAAATTCTATTTGAAGTCATATTTAATTACCAATATAAAAGTGATTAACTGCAAGTTATTCCAAATTCCCATTTAAGGTATGTTAAGTCAATTTTTATTTTTTTTATATCGCACGATTTTTAAACACTATAAATTATATTTATATACTACTCTATTGCTAGGAAGACCCTTCACAGAGCATTGGAATGTCAGCTATTCATTTTTCTTAATTTTAACGTGTCATTGTTGTGCATGTACTGCTGTAAAATATGATTGATGGATAAAAGTTATGTTCCATAGTGTTCTTATTTCTTATGTCCATTAGCAAGATTTTGTCCTAAGAGTGAGACTCAAATGATGGAGATTTATTATGTTATACCTAAGGGTATTGTTAAACCTTCCTTTCTCGTGCGAAGTTCTTACGATAATGGTTTGAAAATCATATTCATACAAAACCTTGTACCCCATTCTTTTGATTGTATACTCATCAAGCAATCATATTTCTGAAAAGAGTTATACTATTACCATATTGAAGTCATTCATAAATTAAGTCAGCCATGTGAGTCTCCTGTAAGTTCCTAAATGATTAAATTGCTAAGTTGTTCGAGTTTGTTCTAAAAGCCTATGAGTTCTATGAGTTGTTAACATGTTATACGGAAGGGATTACGAGATTATGAGAACAAGAGTACCAATGGGCCAAGATTGGAAACATGACTATGGCAACATTATGCATTACAAATTCATGACATGACATGCTATGCATTCTATTCCCGAGCTATAATCGGGAGGTATGGGGCCTATTGCCTATATTTATGCGTATGAGACACGGATGGCCACAAGTTGGCGAATATGATGCAAGTTCGCTACCGGAAGGCACCACCGTTGCTAGCATTTGGTTGGGTATGTCATGCATTTGCATATATATATATATATATATATATATATATATATATATATATATTCATGATATACGATTACACGAGCATACCATGCATATTTAGTTACTATGAGGTCAGATGTTGATCATGGAAGCTATTTGAGTTTCCCTTTCAGATTGAATCTCCACTACCCTTATTATCATAGTTATGTATTATTTCACTTTCTGCCTTACATACTAGTACATTTTTATTGGTATTGACGTCCCATTGCCTGGGGATGCTGCATTTCGTGTTGCAAGTTTAGACAAAGGTCTTGATTGGCCTTTGCAATAGGGGGTGTTGTCTCATCTGAGGATTGGTAAGCTCCATCCTTCCTGGAGTTGTTGGTCGTCTTTAGGTTTTGCATACATGAGTTCGGTATATAATTATTGGTACTTTCAAGACCTCGTCCCACCTATTTGAGTTGTAGTATTCATAGAGACTTGTGGACACCCTATGTTGGGCCTTCTTAGCTTCCCTTTATTGCCTTGTCAGATTATTGTATATAAGATTTTAATTGCAGCCTTGTCGGCTTGCTAGTTCAATTTCAATTAAGTTTGCCTTTCTGGCCCTTTTATTATGTCATTTATATTCTTGTGACCTCGTCGGTCCACTTATCTTGCTTCAGTATTTCATTGTGAAGGCCTTGTCAGCCCTTGTTATTTTCTTTCCGTTATGTTTTAGTGTCTAGCTTGGTCGAATAAGGTACCGCGTGCCGTTGCGCCTCCCCTAGTTTGGGGCGTGACAATAGTTTGGGATATATAGTGTAATTATTTAATGGTATGAATATAAAGATGTATATGTTTGCAATTTGCTTTTATGAGGTATCATTACTATGCGTAGAGAAAAAATTAGATAAAATACTTATTCAATCAAAATTTCTGATCCAAAATATAGTCCAGTTATTAGTTATTGTTACTGTACTTGGCCGTTCGACCAGTGAAGTTCACAAATCTTTTTCACTTCTCTGGAAAATTCATCTTCTTTCTTGATGATTACATCGACACCCACCAAGCCAAATCTTCAATCTTGTCATAAAAATCAATATTTTTCTTCATATCGCAGGCTTAAATCCAAGACATCTAACTAAGGATAAAACAGTCTAATTACTGTACCACAACCCTTTTGAGTCATCATAAAAGAGGTTAAATGTTGTTGACAATGTTCATAGTTTAGCTTTGGAGTTTAGGTCTTTTTCAGAACCAATTGGTACAGTGGAAAGATTATTACACTATATATGCAATTAAAATTTAAAGAGTATTGGTTTAGAGGAGGTCCACTGAAATTCATCATGGAAGAATTTTAAAATTTAACTTGCCATAAACTTGAATTATTTCGAGGAATAATATATCAAAAGAATTAAAACATTGAAAAGATCTGATATCTAAAATTTTAAACTATTTAAAGAAAATTTGAGCTGATCGAAATCGGAAAAAGAATTAACTCATTGAAGAGGATGATTTGTTGTAAATCGTACATTACATACACATGCAATTATTATTATTATTATTATTATTATTATTTTAACGGAATACATTTACATAAGAATCACATTGATTAATGCTGAGTTATTTTTATCTTTAAAATAAAGATCACTAGCCACTTAGTTTTTCTTTCTTCTTTTAAATGATACACTCATTCTAAAAAATATATTTACCTATTGAATATATATATATATATTATTATTTTTTAATTATTTTTTATTTTATTTTTTTGTGGCAGGTGATAACAGAGGCAGGAAAAATATAGTAAGGAGAACTGATCTCTCAAAATAAGTAACTCAACATCTAATTAAGTGTATAAATGAGTACTATCAAATAATATTATATCAATTTTAAAAAATATAGGCATAAAATATTTACAATTAAGAAAATGACGAATTCACGTATCCTATTTTAATTTAAACACTCCTGATGGTGGCCAATCAGAAAGTTAGGGCTTCGTGATGCAGGGCAAAAGTGGACAGAAAAAGATTAAGAAGTTTAAATATACTATTACTTTTTCTATTTTAATTTATTTTTCTTTTTAATTTTTTTTAAAACACATATTTCTTATTTAACAACTCTTTAATTATTCCACATAACATGTATAAAATAACATGAATATTTTTGATAGATTATACATATTCTAATTTAAAACTACAAAATAAAAAAATAAAAAACTTTACTAGACACCTCACCTTGACATGTACAGTGATCTGGCGGCTAATCAAATCACATAGACTACCTTTAATTAATTAGCCCTAATTAGTGACCAGCTGTATGCATATGATTCGTTTGACAGCCAAGTAATTGACAAGCAGGTTGGATGGATTCTTTTCCCTTTTGGATTATGTTATCATTTAGTCTTATTGCTATATTATTTATAGGGGTACGGTAGATCTTCTTTTTTTGCTTACGACTAAAAAAAGCATATGGAGTATATATAAAGATATTAAAATGAATTGATTTTTTATGCACTTAAAAGTTGAATTTGAAAACTTATTACAGGTAATATTTTCTAGTAAGTTAGTATATGCATATATTTGACAAGAAAATTGGCATTAGATCTTTGTCAATATGGGGCCTCAGTAACCATTGATGCACGCCCGTATGTCAGGATTAGATATTTTGGAGCGTGAACTTGTAAGTTGGACCCTTATACTTATGACTTTACCAAATGAATCCTTAAATTCATTCAAACACAATATTTTAAATCTCTTTCTCATTTGATATGTGTGTAATATACTCATTTTACACATGAAATATCATGTCATTTTTAATGATACGTCATTATTATTATTATTTTTCCAATGACATATCAGAAGTTAAATTTTAAAAATAAATAATATTAAAAAATAAAAAGTGCAATTTTCTCTCTCTCTTCCCCCCTTCCTGCTTCATCTTCTTCGTTCCCACCCACCCTCTACGTCTCACCCAAAAATAAAAAAAGCTCATCATTCTCATCTTTTTTCACAGTTCACACTCAAAAGTTTTTCTCAATCATAAAATATGCTAGATTATAATTAGCTCTTGCACATGCTTTAGGTTCTATTTATTTTGATTTGATAAAGAAAAATCAAGAAAACTTCAAGTTGAGAAAAATATATTTATGAGTAAATTCAAGTAATAGATCTTAAATTTATGAAAATGGTGAATGATATGTTTTTTTGCAAAAACTTTTTTTAAAATTTTGTATTTGATGATTATGATGATGGAGTGTACGACAAAGAAGAAGAAAAGAGAAGGGGTAGGGGCGGGGGGTCTGGGTCTGAAGAAGAAGAGAAAAAGGATGGGGTGGGCTGAAGAAGAAAGGTTTTGAGATTTTTTTTTTTTTTAATTATTTTTTATTATTTTGTCTTATAATTTTAATAATTTTTAAATAAAAATATTGCATTCACTTGCTTTAAAACGCGTGTGGTCACACATTTGTCCAACACAATCATTTTAATGTCACATAAGCTCGGTCAATGATCAGAGGGGTTTAGAAAATAGAGATCCATCGAGTTTAAGAGTTCATTTGATAAAATGATGAGTAGAAGGGTTCAATTGACAAACGAAGCCAAGTAATTAAGCCTCCTAGGTCATTTCGCCTTAAACTAATTACTCTCAATGGATAGCTCATAATTAAAGTGATGATTGACCAAGAATCGCAATCTAGCAAGATCTAACCTGCAAATTAGTAGTACTATAGATAATCTGTCATATTCGTATAGCAAATCAAATTATTATGATAGTTATTTTTATGATTATGATGCAAATATTATTGAAATCCATTTCAAATAAATTGTCATACTGTGATAAAAGATTACACAATAAAAAATCTATGAAACTTTGAATTTCGTTTAGGATCCAATTTGAAGTCCTTTTTATCGGTATTGACATGACATGAGACCACTATCAAATCATCTAGCAATTTGCATAAGTATAATATAGTGTACTATATATATAGTTTAACTTTGTGTGAATTAAATTAAATTATCATACAGAAAAGAAAACGAGACTTAAATAAACCAGTGAAGATTCTGTTTGTTTCCCTCATATTTGGTTCTTTAGATTTCCACTAGATATTCCCTTTTATGTATATGGAGTACTATATTTTATTATATTATTATAAATAATAAAGTGGATCATTGGAATAGTGTTAGCGCAGCCGTATGCAGACATAAAAGCACTATATATTATATATGGATAATTAGATCATATAAAGTTATGATGCTTGCAAGTTTAGGTAAATGTTTCCTAAACCTTAAAAAAATTCTCCACTGACAGTGTTACTGTACAAAGTTTGACCACATCTAATCTATCTAATTAATATAGGAGGCACACAGACAATGAATCACGTGTCATATTATAAATAATAAAACGTATTATTAGTGACAACTAAGGATACTAGACTAATCCTCATTTAATCAAAGATCTCATGTTTGAGCCCTAGGTATAAAAAAAATATTTGATAGAGAGCGCTTCTCCTTCTTTAATTAAAGGTTTCATGTTTGAGCCCTAGGTATAAAATTATAGCGTTTTTTCGAATTATACGCGACACGAATTTAAAATAATCAAATTTAACGTGAGTATCAAATATCAAATAAAAAAAACACATTATTAGTGATTAGCGGATTCCTAGATCTTGATCAAGATAATATATATTGTTCCCTAGCTAGCTATACGTAGATCTATATATGGTATAATTAATCCTTTCTTTCTTATCTTTTAACACCTTTTTTTGGCAAGAAGTAGTAATAAAAATGTCCTTTGGTATGTTTTAACAGCTTATTACTAATTTGTTTGCAGGAACCCGTGAACCATAAATATATATCTTCTACAGTAGCGTCAGATTCCTTTGCATGCATATAAAGAGAGGCATCGCAGCGACGACCATATCCAGAGCAACAAATAAATAATTAAGTGATGGAGAAGTAGACATGGCGTGATATTGGTTCGGCTCACTAATTTCTGATTCATGAAACAGATTAGAGATGAGCCGAACCAATATCACTCTTGTATTCTTCTTTATACGTATGTACAATCCTTGTACTCTTTTTATTTTTTTACGCTTAATTGGAAACACAAGTCATATAAATTTCTTTCTTTCTTGTATAATTAGTACTATTGCTCTAACTATTAACAGGTTTACTAGAGATCATCCAGCAAATGGTCGTACTGACGTTTGAATTAATGTCAGTGGTGATGCTCCTAGACACTGAATCATTCATAAGAGTCTTATTTGATAAGTATTAGTGGATTTGAAGTTTTGGGTTTCACTCGCAGACTTGTTACGTTGTGTTGTTTCCAATTTTCCACAAGTTTTTTCTGATAGTGGTTGTGCAATAGATGATTGTGTTGGTGAAGATGATTGGTGGTAATAGTTGACAATAATGATTGTGATGTTAAAGATGATTGATGAGAGCACCTGACGGTAGTAAAAAGTGATATATAGTGGTATTGGTAAAAGTTTGCAGCTGTGGCGGTTGTGATCGGTGATAGTGGTTGAGGTAGTGATGGTCATGATTGATAGAGATTGTAGTCGTGGTCATGGTCATGGTCATGGTCATGGTGGTAGTTAGCATTTGTGATAATAATTTGTTGTGATGGATGTGGTTGATAGTCATCACTAATTGTAGTGATTTTTTTTTCGACAACCATCATCACTAATTGTAGTGATTGACGATAGTGGTTAATGGAGGAGCCACATATACTTGGGTCAAGTGTCGATCAACATCTTTTTATCATAACGTTACACTATGTATCCATGTAAAATCACTATTTTAAAGGAGGATGCAACCTTGGTTAATTAATAGGTTCAATTCAACCCAATAATTTTAATACCGAATCAAAACAAGCAAAATTTCAACCATCATAAATCATAATTTTAAATGTGCAATGATCTTCTTAGCAAGAATCTTAAAGCTAGAATCAATTAAATTAAATCTTTTTTTTTTAATTCACTTTGATTAAGGTTCTTTAACTTTCAACATGTAACTATTTTCCTGCTCTCCTTAAAATTAGGTAACACTTCAATTCTGTGAATATTTTTTTAGGAATATTATTTCCTATTCGGCTACCTTCAAATCAAATACAGATCTTGTTATGTCATTATGATTTCAATTTGTATTAATTATAGTTTGAACCTATGCATATATAAAAATAATAATAGGTGTAGGTAGCAGAGGAAGTTCTTCCTTATCTTGATGATATCTGAGTAAAGACAATTATTCACGATATAAAAAGACCTAAATGACAAAATCCTTGATACCGAATTATATGTCAAAAGGTACCGATGTATATATACGAATTATAGTGTGATGGTTGAGGCCCTTCATTTATTTTTAACTAGAAGTCTCGAGTTTGATTGAGCCTCTAAAAATGAAAAATTATTGTTAAGAGTATCTCCCTCATAAGATCAAAATGGGTTTTTACATGAATTCAAATTTAATCAGGTTTCAATATCCTTACCAAATACCGAGTTAGAAAATTTGCTAAGGAGAATTTCGAATATATCTATTGGCTATTAGAATGTAAAGGGGTGGAAGATACCTTGCATTACATGACAAGGAAAATAAGAAATAGCAGGAAAGTAAGTATTTTTTATTAATATGTTGCGCTCACACATTATTGTAATCATATCATATATGCGTTTCAAACTTTAGTTATTTGGTCAAGTTATCAAAATATCTTTTTTGAGAAGTATTTTTTTTAAAATAAAAAATAACTTTTTAAAATATTTTTGAAGAAAAATAATTTGCGTTTGGTCAATTCATATGAGAAATTAATTCTTTCAGTCTTTAATAAGTAGATTGTATTTTTTCGAGTGTCAAATTGAACAACAAAAAGAAAACAATTAATTAAGTAGTATCAAGATATGCGTTTCTCTATACTGTTTTAAAGGAGAGTAAGAGCCTTAAAATTAATATGAAATCTTTTTAACTCATATTTCTTCTAAAAATTGCTTTGTTATTCTAAAAAAACAAAGAGGAGAGATAAAGGACATACAATAGAGAAATGAGAAATATAACTTGTATTTAATTAAAAGATATAACATATTAAATTATTAATTTTGCTTCGAGATATAACATGTTACATTGTTATTCTATTTTTTAAGTTATCATAGTAATTTTGCTATATATATATGTATGTATATACGTTATTTAACTGTAGGCAAATATATTGGTATACTCCAATGCAGTATTTGACCATTTTATAAAAATGATAACTAATTACTAAGTATTATACTTTTTAAAATTCACTAATTGTGTAAAAAAAAATCATACATCTTCTGTGGAGCTAATCATTTTATTTTTTTTATTAAAATAAAAAAAATATTTACGTTCAAACGGTTCCTTGGTCTATCATTTCCAAATTTTCCCTTAATATTCGGAGATTTGCCGTTCACATAATCTAATGTAATGAATAGTGACAAGAAACAACTTTTTTTGACCGCAAGAAGCAGAGGAATAGTACAATTAAATAATTTCCAAAATGCTTGATGTTGACCAAAACATTAGTATTATTGGAGTTTGGTCTAAAGATAGGGAATAATAATTGTAAAATAAAATACTATAAGATTATTTTTATTTTATGTTTGATTTGACGTAATAGTTAGTTTTAAAATTATTTATTTCATTATTCATATTACAATAATGAAATAAACTAGTATTATATATATAGTGAGATAACTTGGTCTATTATTTCCCTGTACATTGCTATGTTCTCCATTGGTTAAAGAAATAGCAATAATACTAATAAAAATATATATCATACTATATATTATATTCAAAGGCAGTAAGGTCATCATTTTCCTAAAGTGCTGCTCTTTAATGCTTAGTACACTTTTCCTGATAATGACTTAATTTCTTTTTCTTTCCTCTAACACTTTGAATTCGTCAAACTTCATAGCCATCCTATTTTTATTTCTTTTAAAAGTACTTTATTTTGTTGATGATTTCATTTAATTTTATTAATAACTTTTTAAGGTTAATAATAGCAGTATTTCTTTTTTCTTTTTAATAGTAATTTGCTAGCACTCTGTCTAATTGATTATACAATTTGTTACAGCCAAAAATCATTGAACTAGATAGCCTGTTCATCAAAGTTGAGACATTGACTAACATTTTCCATCGTAATCTTTGTTCGAATACAAACATAAACAACAAAGCAAATGGTTATATGATCATACTTGCAAGCTGCATGAAATATATACATAAACACCTTGTTTGGATGGTTGTTATTATATTGTTCGTTTAAATACAATGTTTCTTTTGATTGTTACTTAAATTCTATTGTATCGTATCGTTTAAACTTTAAATTCATCGTTAGATAACAACGACCCTTTTTATGTAATGACCGATTTGGTGTGATCATGTCGTTACCTTAATATTTTCTTCTCATTGTATCTTTCTTTATTATTTAATAATTATATTTCATCTTTTACCTTATCTTTTCATAGTAGCTGTTGAGATATGAGCTGATGATGAAGCAAGGAGAGTACAAGTTAAAGCTGTTAGGATTAATAAAGGGCAAATTAGTCTTTTCCAAAAATTAGTTATAACTAATTTTCTGTTAGTAGATTCGAGAAGTTAGTTACACAATGTAATAGGAATTAGCTATAAATACTAGTCTTACACTGATGTATTACTCAGTCTTTGAACTCAAACAATGAGAGTTTCTCTCCTTCAATGTTAGCTCCTTGTTAATGGAGTTTTTCTGTTAATTCTGCTTGATTTCACTTGCGTTCATGGTATCAGAGCCCTTCACAACAATCTCTGTGGAAGGTGACTGGTGTTTGGATCAAAGAATTGAGTATTCGATTCACAGATTCATCAATTGTTTCAGTAGAATTGCAAATCTAAGTTAGGATCTGTTATTCAAATTGTGTTGTTTGTCATTTGCTTCCGCGACTATTGATTGATTGGAGCATCAAAGAAATGGAAACTAACAGAGCAACTGTAGATCTGGATCAAACATTCAACAATGGCCAGAATGAAAGTACATCAACACCACTTCATGTTGCATCTGGACAAGGTATCGATTACAATCATCCTCTCTTCCTTAATCCTGCTGATATTAGTGGAGTTAGCATCATTTCCTTTCAATTGATTAGTGTTGAGAATTATACCTTATGGAATCGTTCCATTACACTAGCACTACTAGGAAGGAACAAGGTAGGGCTAGTAGATGGATCCTGTATGAAAGAGATGTTTGGTGAAGAACTGTGGGGACAATGGGAAAGGGTTAATGCAATTGTACTTTCGTGGTTAATGAATTCAGTGTCAAAAAGTCTGCTTAGTGTTATTGCTTTTGCATCCAGTGTTTTTCAAGTATGGAATGATTTAAAAGAGAGATTTAACAGGATAGATGGATCTATAACCTACAGTCTACATAAGGACATTGCCTCATTACATCAGGGTACTGATTCTGTGTCTGTGTACTACACGAAACTCAAAACACTATGGGATGAGTTTGAAGTTTTGGTTCTTGCTCCCTGCTGTAACTGTGACAAGTCTAAATGATTTGTTGCTCATTTGAATAGGCAGAGATTATATCAATTTTTGATGGGGTTAAATGAGTCTTATCATCCGGCTAGGAGCTAAATATTGATAATGAATCCCTTACCAACTACTAATCATGCATATGCTATGATAGTGGGGATGAGTGCCAAAAGACTGTGGTTTCAGTCACTAACAGCATGTGATTAAACTCAGTTGGATGAGACTCTGTAGCTATGTTTTCTAAAACTGGTACTTCTTCAGGTCCAAGTCAAAGGTTCAAAAAGAATTTTATTTTGATATGTGATTTCTGTCATTGTAAGGGTCACAACAAAGAATTTTGTTATAAGATTATTGGATATCCACCAGACTTCAAGTCTAAAAGGAAGATACAGGGGACTTCCTTAGACTCACACCATCAGCTAGCTCACTTCTCATATGGTATGAATACTCATGTTCCGGGATGAGGAAGGAAATCTGATACTACTCAGGTTACTGATGAAGTGATAGAAAATTCCAAAGGGCACAAAGCAATGAGTCAAGCTGAGATGAAGGTCAAACAGCTTCTTCAGGGCTGCACTTTTACAAAGGAAAAATATGATCATATTCTCACAGGTTTCCAGAACAAGAATGAATCTACTTCTTCAGACTGTTATCCTGCACATGCTGCTCACACTGCAGGTAAAACTCTCTTTGTTTCTGAAAATAGTAAAGTGTGGATTGTAGATACTGGTGCAACAAACCATATGGTGTCTCAGTTGGATATGTTTATCAAAGGGTCTATGATCAAGTTAGAGGTTCCTAAGAGTGTGTATTTGCCTAATGAAAACACTACACATGTGACTCATGTTGGTTCTTGTGCTCTATCA